TCGAAAATAGGACTTTAGCAAATTACCCGCCTCGTTGCAAGCATCACAACAAATTTTCTCCTACCACGCTAGAGAAACGGGTGCATAGGTAATTGTTCGTCGCGTTGCCGAAAAATGTTTTTTCTAAAGTTTAGAGAGCGTTATACCTTCGTAGGGTTTAATTAAATTCATGAAGGAGAACAAGATGAATTTGATGGTCAAATTCCACATGAATGTTCTTAGAGGAAAATTTGTTTTGTACCTATATATTTCATAATTTTTGTATTGCAGATATTAAGAAGTGTTTAGCGTTGGTTGAATCCAACTATTTTCAAAATATGGGTACTAAAGAAATGGTTGAAATATTTATGCTTAAATGTGAAAAAAAATCATCCAAAGTTATATAGGGGCTTCTTGGTCGAAACTTGAAACCATTAAGAGTACTGTATTTTCTTCACCTGCATTTTAATTTTTTTGTTATTTGATTTAAAGCAAAACAAATGCAAAGTTAAAGTTTAATGTTTTAGAGATCACACAAACAACCAACTTTCCTTATATTTGGAAATCAACTAAATTAGTTGATTCAAAATTTATGCTCTTGCCCTCCTTGCTCGAGCAATCCCATTGTTTGTCGTTATCTTTGTCATTGTTGACCTCCCATGAGCTCCTCCCATCACAAGTGACCCTCCACGAGCACGTACTATCACTGGTGACCTCCCCATAAACACCTCTCGTCGCCTTCAAGCTCCCTTGTGCTCCTTATTGCAAAAGCTTCGTTTGTTCACAATATCTCCCTTGCCTATCCCTATCTCTACTGTTGGCAATCTCTCGTGAGCACCTCCTTATGTAGCACATGGAGGTGGTCCTATTACTAGAGCAAGAGCAAGAGTACATAAAGTTCAAGCCAGGAAGAATCCATGAGGATTAATCACGATGATTTACACCTTTTATTGTTTTATGCATTTTTTATATATTTGGTGTTTTAAGTGTTATGTGGACTTTATATTGATGTTTTTTGTTTTGCTAGTGATCAATGTACTAAGTCTAAGTTATATTCAAGGTCAAGGGCTTTCATGCTATACTATGTGTGTGTATGGAGGCAGTTAAAGGTAGTTTCAAGTGGGGCCCAAGCAAGGAGCAAAGGGCTCCTCTCTCTTTTCCTTTTTTCCTCTTATTTTTTAATTTGAATGAAAGGTGTGTCTCTTTATATGATTTCAATTGTATAAGAACTCCTTTGGACTAAAATTAAATAGATTTGGTTTGCATGTATGTTTTTGGAGAGAAGTCCAAGTGGTTTGGAGGCCTGGTGGCCGACCATATCTAAGTAGATTGGGTGATCTCCTTGAATACCTACTTTGGTGAGTATGTTTTAATTTCCTGCAAGTTTTTTTTACTGCAAGTTTCTACCATTGTGTTCTAATGATTGTAACCCATCTTACAAAAATTCAAATTTAATTTTCTCCATCCAAACCCAAGTCTAATCCTACTTACTAAGGCTAACTAAGCATTATGTCTTTCTTGGGATTAATTTTGTTCCTACTAGTATTTTACCAAAGAAAAACTCATAATGCCACCAAAATCTCCAGATCTTTAGTCCATGTCTCATATTTTAATAATCCTAAATTTATTTTAGGTTGTTCTAGTGAAAATTATGAAGAATAAATCAATCTTAGTTCCAATTTATGTTTGTTGTTCCAGGCCAGTAACTTGATCAATATCTTATAAAATTCAAAAATATTATCAAAACACCAAAAAAAAAAAAATATCAAAACTTCTAGATCTCATATAGGAAGTTTTATTGATCATTTTAAAATGGAATTATTGAATGCTACCCATTCTACAAAAAATCACAATCAGTTATAGATAGAACTGACCTACATCTCTCCCATAGCACATTTGGACAACTTAAACCTCTCCAAACCTTATCAAACTCTTAAAAAATATACTAGACAACCTCACCTTAAAATCAAACCCAGGTTTGTAGATTTGAGTACTGTAGAGGTAGAAACAATTGGTAGAAGTTTGACTTTATCTCTGGACAAACTATAGGAATTGTGAATTGCCACCGAAATTCATTAAACCATACCTCCAACTTGAAACTAACTCCTCCAAATTAACCTTAACTTTTTCAATTATTTTAGAAGAGCCCCTCATCCACCAATTGATTACATCAATGATCTAAGCCTACCAATTACCCCATCACCTTCTATCGCCCTCAACCATCCTGTTCGCTCTCTAGACCTTGTCAAATCCCATCACTTCTTATTGTCTTCTCTTTACAACCCTCCCATCGTAAGTGACCTTATCTTAGCACCTCTGTTTGAAATTTATCTTGATAAATACAAAAAAATATTTTAATGCATTAAATTTGCATTTAATCAAATTCCTGCCTTTTTTAGAGGCATGCATTCAGTTACTCTGTATTCATATGATCCATGCATTTTAAAAACATCTAGCCAACTAACCTTAAGTTTTCTTGGTTTAAAAACTATTTTTATGTTTAGTGAATAGGTTTAGTTAAGTTTTCTATTGGTAAAATTTTTGATCAATTTGGTTTTGTATTTTACATAGAAATGCTTCTCATATTTTATTAGGTAGGTCATGGTAATTTGATGGGAATGCATATTGATAAAAAAAATCTTTATTTTCTTATTCTGGAAAAATTAAATATATTTTGACTGCACTTTAAGAAATTTCTACCAAGGATAAAAAATGAGAAAGTTAATTTTATTATTGAGACAATTTTAGAAACCTTGTAAATGGGGACCTTATGCTTTTATTGTGCTGTTGTTGCATATAATAATGACGAAAAAAGTAGAACATGTGTCGGAGTGTGTTATCCCAACTAAAAATAGTTTATAGATATTGGACCGATGAAATTCATAGTTAATTAGAATTCATGTGTGAGATTCAACATCAACATTGTTTGGTGTTGAGTGCCAGGTTATCTAACCTTTTTTACTATCATATGAGTCCTATGGAGCTTGCATAATTCCAAGGATAAGTTAAGGAACTTCTTAAGAAGGGCTTAAACTAAGAAAGCACATTTTCATATGGCAATTATGCTCTTTTTACTTTTAAGAACGATCAGACATGGAGAATGGTCATTTGGAGGAACCCTTGGATGACAATGGAGGTGGGAATTATATAAGTTTCTTCTCTTCAAAGATTAGGTAGACTTGAAGTAGCTTCTTCATGGAAACATGGAGCAAACTTGAAGTAGCTTTTTCATGAAGACTCAAAATTTGCTTTTAATATGAGAACATAAACGATGTAGAGGTTCCTGTTTCATATTCTATAATTCATGTTCTTATTTGGAGTGCCATTGACATTCATGCATGTGATTTTTTATCTTCTTATACGTTTGTATTCTTATATCTCTTCATAATCTCCTCAAATATAGCTATGGAATTTAGATTGTAAGCATTTCTTTTTCCCTGGGTTTTACTTCATGAAAACTTTTTGATCCTTGGCTTGGTTACCCAGATCAATCCTCAGTTATGTTTGTGTTCTTCTTCTTTTTCCAGCATTTTATGGTGCTTTTTTGTAAGTTCTAACACGTTTCTCACCTTATTCTTCTGAAGTTAGGCCATCTAATTAAAATATAGCTCAATCCGACTAGTTTTCCTTTCTTCACCTCCATACACCAAAAAATTCTCATCATTTTCCTAACATCTTATGTTATCCATAGAATACCAATACCCATCAAAACTCTCTCCATTAACCTTTCTTAAGCTCTACACAAAATCAGCTACTTGAAAAATCAGCTCAAATCTCACCACCCCTTCTTAAGTCTCAGATACCCTTCAATCTCCACAATCCAAAAATCCCACAACCCCTCAACCAATTGGCTGGCTCATTCTATATATTTTTTCATCAAATAAAACTACTCACCTCAGCCCTTTATTTTAATGCGCACCATTTCTTCCGCATTAGATTTTCTTTAAAACTTTCTATAGAAGAAATCCATCGTACACCATAGATTATGCACCAATTCCATGCCAAACAAAAGGTGGTGATGAAGTAGAGGGGATAACAAATAATATCATGGAACTTCAGAAACAAGCAAGAATGTCTCTTTAAGAATAAAATGAGAAATACAGGATGTTGGCGCTCATGGCTAACTCTTGGAGTAAAAAGAAGGCAACTTGGTTATGCTGTATCGAAGCAAGGGGAGGTTTCGCTGTTGTACCTGCCACAAGTTCAAGGAGAACAAGACTTTTCCTGCCACATGAAAAGAAGTTTGAACCTTACATACCAACTTTAATTTTTAAATGGGATGGTTGTGAGTTGAAAGTTCAATATATAAAACCTATACTCATGCCCTGCTCATCTTTTATTGAACTCAAGAATGCGTCTTTTTGATTCAGGGGAGGATGATGATGGAGAGAGAGAGGCTCCAAAGGCCTGTGGTTGTATTTCCAATGTCTTTTAAGGCTAAACTCCAAGCATTAACTCCACTTCCATGTTGACCTCTGGATTAAGCTCAAAAGAAGCAAAAAAAAAAACACACAGATATACCTGTGTTAAATCCCGCAAATTCTGCCCGAAATCCCGCCGAATCGCTGTGCAGTCGGCGCCGTCCCGGGATTTCTGTTCGGAGCCCACATTCCACATCTACTTTAAATGGCTATTTTTGTTAATTAAACTCTTGTATTTGATTTAGTATAGTTTTTATTCACTTAATTCTACTGAGTGTTTTGTCTAAAAGAAATGAGTGATTCCTCTTGTTTCGGGTAAGTCCCCATAGTTTGGGTGACTGCATCTCCAATCCTCTTTACAACTTTAGTTTGTTTTATAGTAAAAAAATTCTCAGATGCTTTCTTCTCCATTTGAAACTCTTAGATAAATTTTTTTTTTAACTTAGGGCCAACATCATGTCATTCCATACATTATCAAATTCATTATACACCATTAAAGCATGAATAAATATTGTTTCATTATGTAAACTTATAATGCCCCGACTGATATGGATATGCCATGGAGGTTAAACATAGCTAAAAGTGGCTATCATATTGCAGGTTTTTGCCCACTCCAATGAATAGAAGAAGAAAACAAGTTGATAAAGAGGTTCGATCTCTTCTCAGAGGCATGATTGAAAAAAGAGAGAATGCTATCAAATATGGAGTCAAAAATAGCACTGACCTATTAGGCCTAATGATCGAGTCCAATCTGAAACAATTTGAAGAGCATGGAAAATCCAAAAATGTTGGAATGACCACTGAAGAAGTTATCGAAGAATGTAAGCTTTTTTACTTTGCAGGACAAGAGACAACGAGCGTTTTGCTTAATTGGACAATTGTTTTGTTGAGTATTTATCCAACCTGGCAAGAAAGAGCGCGTGAAGAGCTTATGCAAGTATTTGGCAAAAATTCACCTGACTTTGACGGTTTAAGCCATTTGAAGATTGTGAGCTCCTTCTAACTTTCTTTGTTCATCTACTACTGTTTTACATAACAAGCTTGTGATGGGGAACTATTTATTTGTGCTGTTGAGCTTCTCCATGTAGAAATGTAGTTTAATTATTGAAATGTTTCTCTCTTACTTCAACATTTATGATGATAATATTTGAACAAGAGACTAAAGTAAAACAACAAGTAGTTCAGGTGTTGATTTACTTGCTGTCAAAAATACTCAAAGAAAACCAACTATATAGTAATAGTTTCATAGACTTTTCAGTTTATCTAGCACAGAGACTTGAATAAATTAATAGGGAACTTGATTTGGACAACAGATAACTTGCACATTGAACGACGACGAATTGGACTTAATTAATTTGAACTTAAAAATGAAAGAATGCAAAAGACTTGTTTTGGACTTGAGTTGAATTCAAACTGAGCAGAGAATTTGAACTAAACTCAAATAATTTGAACTTGAAATTGAGCAAATACAAAGAACTTGAATTAAGCAAGACTTAAATGAATTTGGATTTAAACTAATTGATAGCGAACTGAACCTAATTTTGATCACAGGAAATAGGACCTAAAGTAATAAATCAGGCTTGAATGGATGCATAAAGTGAATCCATGATTCACCAGATAATGAACACATAAATGCAATTGAATAAATATGGAACTCGTATTGTATATGTGCCACAATGCAAGAATCTTTAATGAATAATATGGACTATTCATAATAACTTGGTGCAAATGCTAACCAACAATGTTGTTAGTGTTATCATTCACATTACAAATTAACTGGCCATATGATGAAAAGCTACGATGTGCTTAGCAAATTATCTAGAGATGGCGATTAAAGATATGTGGTGAATATGGCAATTTTTCAGCAATCACGCATCATATGCAATGAATGCAGCGCCCCTACAAACAAATCAAGAAAGTTGTAAGAGAGATAATCTCCTCACTAACGGTGCCAATTAACTTACAAATGGATACATGCTTTCTAGAAGTGGTGATAATGAGCATGCAATGATCGCAAGGATGCCCTCGCCAATCAAGTATTTAGCAAATACACAAGTTCCCTGTAAACGAAGGAAGTTGACTTGCATATGAATATATTAAATTTTCCTACAGTTGAGAACGTTCTTTGTAGGTATATACAAATATGTGTAACCAATGCTAGAACATTCACATAGTCTACAACAATACAATGGCAAGTAAATATATTTAAACTCGACAAGCAACAAAGGGATTCGACATGCAACTGACTGTCAATTAAGATATGTTTGGAGAATTCAAAGCAAGTGTAACTCTCATGCAATTAATGTCACTCAATTACAAGAGAACAAGCCAATCCACCTGTGAACGATGAAGCTTAATGCAAATACACATAGTGATGTGTATGTAGAATGTGAGCATCCACAAGAAAATGTAGGAGAGTCCTCATTCATATAGTAGTCCACTCACCGGTGATGAAGAATAACATGCGAGGGTTGCTAAATTATCCCTACAGTCAGTAACCACTCAACATTAGTCAAATACACCAGTCTTCTTCTAGTAGAAGAAGATGACATGCAACGAAATGCAAACACTTACAAGTGATTGTAGAAGATTAATCATACGCACGATATGTTATTCACAAGAAAATGCCAAAGGGCTACAACAACTGCAAGCTCATATAGATTGCCGTAAAAGACCCGTCGTGCACCCAACATGTCACCGAAGGGAAAATACAAAAGAGTTACGACGAACACAAGCTTCTACTAGTTGTCGTAGAAGACCCATCATACATCAAAAAATGCCCCCACACGCACTTCAATATGTCTACACATAAACAAAAAAATGCACATGCAAGCACATCAATATACAAATGAGTAAAAATGCACGGGCAAGTGTGTAAATATAACACAAAGAAGTGCATATGTGCAACCATACACCCACATAGGACCCACATGAGCGTGTTACGGGTACACACATGATGTCTGAGGATGCTGCACGAGTCAATAAATGATAAATTTAAGTTCGAGCCCGATCCTTTTATACGGGTAGATAGGAGTCGACATAACTTGAGCTATCAAACAAATGAACGGTTGCGGTGTCAACCGAGACATTTATTTTATAAGTTCATATTAGACCTTCAAGGCGGATAAACAGGAAAATTCACAAATAATAGCATACGGCTGACAATGAACCTGATCCTCTGTCAGCGTTTAGACAAAGTCGAAAGAGTTTGATAGATAATTACAAAAATACTCCCAAATTCCCGCATGGGCCTCGATGAGAGTGTTATGGGTAACACATGACGTCTGAGAATGCTACGTGGTTCAAACAATAATCCTCCCACGTGAGTAGATAGTAGCCGACACAGCTCGTATTATCAAACAAATGTACGATCCCGACGTCGATCGAGACATTTGTCTTATGCGTTCATTTTAGGCCTTGAAGGCCTACGAACATTGAAATTCATTCATTAATAAGGCCACAAAGCCTATGATGAACTTGATTATCTATCGACAAGATTCAATCCACAAATTAAATTCTCCATAAATATCCCGATGATAGCCGTGTTGAATGTAAATCTCAACCGGATGGATCAATTCAAATATTCAAAATACCTTCAAATGACCATGAAAATCCAAAACTCCAATATTTTAAAAATTTAAAATGTTTAAAACTGAAATTAATCATCAAAACACTTAAAGCAAATCCACACACTTTCTGCAACAGTTTGCCAAGGCGGAGAAGTTTGAAAATATACTTGAGCTCACAAAGAGCGAGTGTCTGGTCGAGAATATCACTAGGATTCATTATCATTCCATCTTCTGTCAATAAGGACGTGGCACATGTCCTCAAACCGGCAGTGTTGTCGCCAAATGACACTGCAGGTAAACGGTTATGACTGGGGCCCTCTGAACCCGGTGGTTTGATTTTTCCAAGTTATTTATGTTAGAAGAAATACTGTACTGATCACTAATGTGTAAACTTTGTTGTTATCCCTTTAACTAGTAAAAGCCTTGTAAAACAACTCCGTCATATTAAAAACTTGTGGGCTCCGAAAATTCGGCCTCGGCCTCTACTCGCTTTTCTGTTCTTTTTATTTGGCGAGTGAGTTTTAACTGAATAAGTTCCGAGGTAAATTTTGGAAGGCAGATGGGTTTGTAGATAAGACACTACCCAGAGATTTCGCCCTCATTTTGCGAGGACTTTATGATCTGAGTTCTGGTTTCCTATAGGCACAAGCCCCTATAGTTAATTACCCTTCCCGATCACGAGAGAGAACTTTCGATTAAGGCTAGTCGTCAATCAGATAATTACAATTAATTATAATTAAGTATAATAATTAAATTGTTATAATTAATTAGAATAATTATTTATATTTAACTTTAAGTAAAATTAAATATAACTAATTAAATTAACTAAAACAACTTAATTAAAATTAACCATAATTATCTGTAATAATTATAATTAGTTTAAAATAATTATAATTAAGATTAAAAAAAATTAATCTTCATTAGCACTAATACAACTCTCCCTCTCTCTATCTCTTTAACGGGAATCGACTGAAGAGGCGAGGATAAGGGAGAAAGTTACCCTCACAGAGAGCTCCCGTTTGTTGCTTCCGTCCAGCAAGAAGGGAATGCCGCCGACTGAGCAAAGTCGGGCAGTAGGGAGGACTGGAGAGGGCGCGTGAAAGGGAGGAAGCTAACTTCACAGCAACGAGCTCCAGTTGTTGCTTCCGATTAAAATGCGTGACTTCTGATCCTACAGGCAGAGAACGTCGTCGAGAGGAGCGAAGTCGGGACGGAGCTCGGCTAGCGACGTCGACACAATGACGGGAAAGGAGGACGAAGAGCTCGGGTATGTTGATCTCTCCTCTCTCTCTCTCTCTCCCTCTCTCTCTCTCTGTGTCTTCCTCACTGGATCGGAAGGCAGCGACGGGCTGAGGAGATCGGAGCTCGGACAGAGAGGAAGGGGGATCGGGATTTGGTCGGAGCAGTGAAGGGAGTTTTTGGTTGTGGTAGCGGGAGAGATGTCGAAGACGGGAGCTCGGTCGTGAGTGCCGAAGAGCCTTCATCTCATCCGGCTTCTAAAGGCGAGAGGAGTGTCCAGCTCGAACGGGATTTGGGCAGGAAACACGGAGAAGCGATGGATTCGGCGTCGTTCGCAGAGATAGGACTGTAGCAGCGGGATTTCGGCAGGGATTTGATCGCGAATCAGAGCAGAGTATCGGGAAATCAACGGGATTTCCGGGATTTCTTCGATCGAACGAGGTATGCAGAATTTTTTTGTTTCCTTTGGACATTATACGAAGGTCAACAAAACTGTTTTGTTTATATTTACGAATATTTATTGCATTTCATTTTACTCACACATGCTTTACATGCTAATGCTGGGCCATAAAATCTTTTTGTATCTAAGTCTATCTGCCAAAATAACAGAATACGGACATCATCTAGAACGGCCTTTTAGTTAATTTTGGTTTCTGAAATTTGTTAAAAATTTTGATTGGCCGTTGAGGCAAAGTCCCGATTGTTATATTACAATTCAAACGTTCTCTGTACTCTTACGACTGGTAAAAATCATGTAATATATGCAATACTTAGGGTTTTTGCTGCTTTCATTTAAACTGGTGCAGATGAGCATGATTCTGCATGAGGTTCTAAGACTATACCCCCCTGTGGTTCTCCTGGGCCGAAGGACCTACAAGACCATGGAGCTAGGAGGTATCACATACCCAAAAGGTGTGATGCTCTCTCTCCCTGTAATCTTCATTCATCATGATCCTGAAATCTGGGGAGAAGATGCCCATGAATTCAAACCAGAGAGACTCGCCAATGGCATATCGAAGGCAGCACAGAACAACCAGATGGCCTTCTTCCCATTTGGTTGGGGTCCTCGCATTTGCCTTGGTCAGAACTTCGCAATGTCTGAAGCCAAGATGTGCTTGACCATGATTCTTCAGCGTTTCAAGTTCGAGCTCTCACCATCTTACATCCATGCTCCATACACTGTCATAACACTTCAGCCTCAGCATGGCACTCAAGTCGTGTTACATACATTACGATAACATTTATGCCTGTCACGGTTATTAACAAATTACAGCTATTCTGATAGAAATAATGGTTTTACTTCGCATTTTCTCAAGTTGGGAGTGGAAATAATGTAGCTGCATGATAAGTGCGTCGTATTGCACAATAAATTCCTGTAAATTTGATTAGAATATGTTTTAATGCTTGAGGACATATTTCATACCGCATGCATCAATCACCATGGCAAAATATGTGTTGGAGAGAAAAAAAAAAGGTTGCTGCAATTTGACAACTGCTAAGGATGTAGTATAACTCTTTTTTGCCTGATTAATTGAATTGGTAAAGCTTGTAAAGAGGATAAATTTTTCTGTGCAGAGTCCAAATTGGAAAAACCGTCCTGACATATGAGTGTACAAATTGTGTATCAAATTTTTGTACACATTGTTTGTACACAGTGTGTGCACTCATAGTCCGACGGTTCTTCTCTTTTGAGATTACGTATAGATTAATTTCTCTGTAAAGAGAGCCAAGTTATGGGTTTATATATTGTTTGAGTTTATTTTAGTAGATTTTTGGCGTGATCTAGAACTAGAACTGTAGAATTTTAGTCATCAAGTTAGGCAATTTGAACCCGAGGCTTCATTTGGGACAATTTTCTTATTGTCTTTTAAAATAATTTTTAATCAAAAAATTATAATTCAATAAAATTTTGAACTAATTTTTTTTTGAGAAACAATAAGAAAATTATTCCAAATAAAGCCTCCGTTTATGGTTGAACTTACAACTGCTTGTGATAGATTAATGTTGTTCCCTACTACAACAAAATGGCCATTTAAGGATGCAAAATGGCCTACGAAAACGTGCAATATATGAAAACTTATAAATTGCTGTATACTATTTAAGTATCCTATTAATAGCTGCCATGTAAGTATCGTCCGTAAAATATTCAAAACATTATTAATAATATGAAAAACAAGTGTCCTTAAAGGTCTAAGCTATTAAGGCATTTTTTATGATATTTAAAATAAATTAAATGATATTAGTAAGTGTCCTAAAGAAAGGACATTTCTTAAAACCCATTTTTGTGTTCAAATATCTTTATGGAATAAATCGTTTGACTTTCAAAGTGACGTGATATTTTTTCTATCATATTTCATTAAAGAAATGAAAATTTTTTATAACTCCATTTTCATCGTTAAAAAAGAGAGCAATGCAAATTCTTTGAAAATTCCACCGAGCCTTGTGGATTTTAGGAACCTCATATTGAATGAAAATCCAATAAATAAGGTTATGAAATCTAGAGAGTCTCAAAAATACTTCTCAAATTCAATCAAAGTCAAAATTCCTTTAGAAATAATCTTCCAATATCCTTGGTATACATTGTAGTTACATTTTATTGTAACTTGATGAGTACAATGAGAATTCCAAATTTACATTCAGCTCATTTTTAGAGTTTCAAAAATTTGTCGGAATTAAATATTGCAAAAAGACTTATTGAAGGTTATCTTCTAAATCATAAAAAATGATTGACATATTTATCTTTACATTTAACAAGGATCTCACTATCGAGGAAATTTATTCTCGAAATACAATCACATTTGGAATGTTTTTCAGACTATAGGACTGTAAATAAATGGAAATAAGATAGTTGATCTAAATGCTGATGATTAGATGGTTATGCCCCAAGTAAAGATTACCCAAGGGTCGTTGTTACTCATATGCCCATTACACCTCTAGCTAGGGAGGATAGAAACCAAAATCTACATTTACTATTGAATGTGAAAGTTGCATAGTATTCAAAGTTGACACAACTTCTGATATCCCATTTATAAGTAAAATATATATTGAAATGTTGCACTTTATATTTGTACGAAAATTTATAACAGGATATTTGTGATAGATACTCGATCACACTCCTTTAACAATGCTAACAAAGAAGTAGGAAAGTAATTTCTAACATAATTTGCCAATAAAAACTATCCAGCATAGCTTAAGAGGCAGATATATCTGCCAAAAGCCTGAAATGATACTAAATTAGAAGCCTTAGCGCATGTTAAATATGAGGCTAGGGAGGAGCTCCTTATTCCTCCCACATCTCCTCTCCTAAGCGCAAGTTAAACCTTAGCACAAGTTACGCCTTTCACCCCCTTTCTGCTGCTTAAGCAGAGGATGATATTTGTAGGACAGCACAATCTTCACCATTCCCTTTTGACTTCTACATAGAGAAAGTTGATGATGAGGAAATGGTGCAACAAATTATGAACTTGAGAAATATAATTAATACATTTGTTGCTCAAATGGGTGAAACTATGGAAGAATACATTGGCCATATGGAGGGGATGATATCTCAGCACTTGGTCATGGATGTTTTAAAGGCAGAGAAATCTAAAGTGAAAGTATTGACTCCGCATTCCCTTAGAATTTGTAAAAATTTTTATAAGCATCCAGTTGCATCTATGTAGTAATGGATATCACTGGGTTCCTAGAGAACCATTAGCCAGATCTAACGAGATAGTTTTGTAGTAGCAAACCAACATCATATTCTATAAAATCTTCCTCAACCATTCCAACCAGTGCAGTTGGTAAGGGTAGATCTGTACTTATGAATAAGAGATTTAGCTCTCCTTAAAAGTAATCCCTCTACCAAAATCTGTAGAATATGAAATGAACAATCACCAAAATTAATCCATATGCCCCTCTTCCTAGGTTATGATTTGTCCATTTTGTTAGTTGGAACTAGGATAAATTCTCATATTATAATACCATTTATGAAAGAGGAAGTGCAATGACCCGCTGTTGGTACCACCATTATAATTGCCTTACTAGGGGTAATCAGAAGGAAAAATGGATTGGAAACTAAGAAGAAGACAAAGACCCAATGGCTAATAAGTCTGTTAATGAGATCTTTAAAGAATGTAACAAAGTCATTTAGAAATTGAAAATTAAGAGAATAAAAGAAAAAAAAGGACTTGAAATAACTTGAGATGATAAAGGGGGATAAGAAATTTCTTCCCATGTATCCCAAGGTTATTGAGGGAAAGAACATAAATGATGCAATTCAAAAAATAAAGGACATTTTGAAAAAGAAGAAGGAAGAGCTGATTGAGGCATTTGATCATGAGGAAGACCTTTTGATAAACTATAATGAGGAAGATACTCTAGGCACCAGTGTATTAATAATAGATACAAGAGCATCCTCATTAAAAAATAATAATTATATTAGGCAATAGGAAGAAGAGGTAGAGGAGTTAGTTGGTATAGACCGTCCCCAAATTGGTTAAATAAACTTAAAAATAAGGATGAGCACATTGATAGGTTGGAAAGGAGGATAAATGAGATGATAATAAAGATAGCATGAATATAAAGTATGATATTAAAATCACATCCAATTCATAACAACTTCCCCTAGCCAATAATTCATCTTTTAGATAAATATGTATTAGATGAAAGAAATATAGTGTAGAGTAAAAGTATAGAGTCTTATTATAGTGAGAAGGATATTAAACAACTGATTGAAAACCAGATAAGGGAGGCCTTAGGCCAAGCATAAGGGCTTTATTAATTCGAAAGGGTAGACCCTGCCTAAGGGAATTTGATTTGTTTCTCTACCCAAAAGGATTATTATCACCTTGTTTAACATGTTTAGTGGTATAGAGAACCTAACACATCACTTGGCCCACTTTTATGCACGCTGTTATAATGTTGGAGGAATAGGTGATCTTTTATTATGATAGTTTGTGAGATGCCTTTCTTCCATTGCATTTGAGGTCAGATATTAATTGGATATCGTACTGTACGATACAAGATCGTACTGTACGATTTACGGAAATTCCTATAAATACCCTTGCCTAGGCTGTTCAATTCACTCAACCCTCTCCTCACTCAGCCTTCACTTCGTTTTCGTGCCCTCCTGCAATGTCTAAACGAGGTCGGATGACTGCCGGAAGCTCGTCCTCATCCAGTCGTCAACCTGATCGCTTTCTGAATAGTGAGAATGAGGAAGCCTACTACCGATACAAAGCCTGCAAAATTTCCCCTTCAAAGATGCTTAATCAGGCCGCTCTCAATTTCGAGGTAATGGGCCTCTTTGCCTCCACCACCTTTCAATTCCTACTCACCCTAGCGTTTCCATATAATTCTGAACTTCTTTTTGAATTTCTCGCCAACCTCACCTACACCGTCGATAACACCACTTTTCACTCCTGTGTTTGTGGCCGCCCCATTGAAATAACTAGAGCCGACATCGCCCAACATATTGGGCTGTCCACTGAAGGACCCATGGTTCGCTCGTTTCTTACCGATGATTTTGATTGGAGCGATGTAAATAGAGTCCTTAGGAATACTATTTTTCATCAACACCAGCCTCTAGTCCAATCCTTAACCCGAAATGCCCGTATAATTCAACATGTTCTTCGAACCTCTATCATACCCAAAGGTGGCGACCGCATCAATCTGACCCCTATCTTGTCAGTCGCTACCTACCTTATTATGTCCAACATTAAGTTTGATGAGGTCGATTTGATTAGCAACTATATTCGGCACATGACTTTTGTTCGTCTTCCCACCACTCGACGGAAACAGAATCTGGCTCTTGGTCACCTAATAGGATATATCCTCTACCATAAATATCAATTATCCTACCCTGGTGAACCCGACATGCTTCCTATTTTTTATACGGATGCTTCCTTCCGTATCCTCTTTCATCGGGGACATGAGCCTGAAGAACCCGTCTTTGATGAAGAAGAAGGAGAAGATGCACCAGCCGCAGCTCCAGCTCGACCACGACGCCATGCCGCACCCCGAGCACCTGCACCAGCACACCCAAATGATGATTTAGTCGCCCGCTTCGACCAGCTGCAGACTCGTCTCGACATGCATATTCAAGAACAACATCAGCAACACGAGACTGATATGCAATGGTTTGGAGAGCGTTTTACCGCAATTGATCACCGCTTCGATACTCTATTTCAATACTTTCAGCCAAATCCACCTCCACCACCAACTGATCAGGACCCGTCTACTAGATTATCTGTGTTTGCATTGTAGTTTTTCTCTTTTTTTGCTTTTGTGCTTTTAGTTGCTCCTCCTTTTTGTGCTGTCAAAAGGGGAGAAGTTTGTTGTAATGTTGTAATACCTGATTCTCTAATAAATGTATTTCCTTTTGTTTCGTACTTACTTGTAGTATCTTTTTTTTCTTCTTGTGTTTAATTTTTTTTTAAACAAAAAA